CAGGTTACAGAGTGTGATAATCAAAATTAGAATAGGTATTTTAGTTGATGTAGCCAGAGTTTTACAGAGCTTGCGATTAGTTTTAAACATTTAAACCACATTTCTTGTTCAAGCTCTTGAGCATATACATTTGGTAGACCACCGAGCATAAATGAGACAAATAGGTCTTCATCATTCCATAAACTGACAAAAGTGTCAACATCTAGCATGCCAACTAGTGACTCAATCAAAGCGTTTCTACTACTTTGTATGAGAGTACAGTGTAGAAATACATGTTTTGCAATATCATAGGCAACTATGCCACACTCACACTCACACTCAACATTCTGGCATTTTATAAACATGCAGACCATAGTCTGTGAACATTTTAGGATATCTTATAGTCTGATATCTTTCAAGGTTAAGTCTCAACCTTGTTACAGAAGCAACATATGTATCCTCAGCTTTAAGTATTCTTTCTTTAACCAGTATAGACCACTCAGCCTTCGTTAAGAAGGAAGATTGGTTTACATAGTTGTATAAATGCATATCTAGGTCATAAATTGTTACAAGATTGAGCATGTGGAAGATTGGCGATGACTTGCTATATCGCTCTTTCTCCAGTGATGAGGTCTGTCTCAGGCCTACCATACAAACGGCGAACAAATCATCAAAACTGAACTCATATACACCAAAACAGACCACATATCACCAAAATAGGAAAATAAACTTCCAAAATTGCAACAATATCCTCTAAAACCGAAACGAACGCCTCCGTAATTGCTAACTAATCGTTTGAAATGGAAACCAAACTCGTGTATCTGCTACAAGAGCGGCCGAGAACGGCCGCCGGGCCTTCGAAACGGCAGTCATAGCATCCCGAAACGGCACGCAAATCGTCAGTCATCGGCATTCTTCGCCTCGCAGCCTCGCTTTCAGTCTAGAAACATGGCGGCGCGGGAAGACGAACAGGTTTTGGTAAGTAATGTTTTTCGTCACTTTGAGTGTAATCTTGAAAAACTTATATCGGGATGTAGCGCATAAACCCCTATTGTAGTAAGCTTCAAATCTATGTTCATACTTCTCCGTGTTAGGCTTGCAATCCCGCACAATGTGGTCCCTCGTTCGACCGAAGGCCGTTTTTTGTTGGACTTGACTCAAGTCTTGATTAAGTTTTTGTTACATTATTCGCGTTTCTTACAGCTAATAGAGACGATGTGGGTAATTCCTTCAACTCATGGACGCGATATCATACGCAAGCTTTAAAATACTTTTACTTTGAATACGATAATGTACAATAGAATGGAGATTTGTTGTAAACAGTTACTGTTAACATCAATTTAATATTTTACTAGCCGAGAGCCGCGATGCGGTCGGTTAATAATTTACTTATTATGTCAAGATGTTTAAAAATTATAAATCATATTTGTGTATTTACTCAAGGGACTCGAATACAACGACAACAAATATAGGCTTCCATTAATGAAACTTTGTTATAAGAATTATCACCAGAACATAAGGGAACAGACCAATCACAACAGTTTTTAGCAATTTCCGTTTAGATGAATATCGAAAGGTTTAACAGGGTTCAAAGTTTGCTTTTGTCTTACTGATCATAGATAAGTAAAATAAAAAAATCGACAGCAAAAATCAAGATTTTATTTAAGCTTAGCTATTAGTTATTCAAGAGTAAAAACACATCAATTGTGGTATCAATACACTGGCCCTGGGGGATAATTTGATTATCAACCTCTGCGTAAAATAGCTTTTCTTTGATAAGATTTTCGTTGGAACAAGTAACTATTTTTATGTATTTCATTTCAGTTTTGAAGATGGGAAGGCATAAATACAGACTAACATTAAAGAGAAAAAAAGGCGTAGGTAACAATGCCTCCGCGCCAAGAGAACTCCCTTCTGACAAAGAAAATACCAGTGCTGACTCCAAAGAGATCGAAGTAGATCACAGCACCCCTGTCAAGAAGCATTGCAGTGATTCATGGGGAATTCCTTTGTCTCCAATTAAGGAAAATAACACCCCTAACAGCATTTCACTTAATCAGACCTGTTCAGACCATGAAGTAAGTGGACTGACATTGTGTGATAAATGTGGAAAGTGTGATGCAGCCTCAAAATCATGCATTCACAACTACAGTTCTGATCGCCTATGTGAGAAATGTGGAACAGAATGTTTGCGGACTGGCACCCACACTGTAAGAGGTAACATTGCTAGCAATGAAACACAATCAAAACATTGTGACATTGACTATCTCTCCGCCTTGTGTGAAGCAGCACATGCAAAATTAATGGATATAGGTAGAGGAGACTTCTTAGAAAAACTGTTGGAAGTTATAGTGTCGGGTAGACTTGACCTTGAAGGTCTTACCTTTCAAATAATATCAGACACTGTAAATGCTCTGAGTGTAGAATCATTGACTCAAATGAGATTCTCATGGCAGTCCAAATGTTTCTGGAAGCTTCTCCTAACAAAATGTGGAGGGATGGCTCTCCGATTGTTAAGCGGCTGGAAATCAATTGGAAGTATTTTGACAGAAGAGTGCAAACGTGGATTTCTTGATACAGAAAAATCAGACATTATTTTAGCTGTCCCAGATGAAGAAAATTTGATCCGTATGATGGAGAATGGCCCAAAACACTTCCTCCTGGTTTTTCTGGTAAAATTGCGGCTAAGGTTGCAAATTCTACCTCTGTACAAGAAAGCAGTGTATGTCTGTCTTTGGATGGAAAGAAAATCACCCCTGGACTCAAAGATGAAAAGGGAGATATTGATCTCCTCGGAATGGAAGAAGATGGCATAACTTTACAAAAAAGAAGGGAAACTTATGCAGAAGAACAAAAATTGATTGCAATAACCTGTCAGCTTGTCGAGGAGTCTCAGACCATATCACAAGAAAGTGAACTTCGGTGGAATATGACCCTCCTAAGTGAAAAATCAATAAAACTGAATGAAGAACTTGATAAGAAGAATAATGCTCTTGACAGATTGAAGAAATTGGGTGGAGAAGACTACAAAAACTCACGGTACTGTTTTGTTATACAGCTGGTAATAGCAGCTCAAGTAGAACTTTGAGAGTGCTTGGAAACTGGTCGCAATTGGAGAAATAAACTTGTGAAGATCCTTGCCACATTGCATAGGAAACAATCACTTTTTCTGGAATCGCCTTTTTGTCTGTTTTTAATTTGCCAACTTTCTATGCCCTCCATGACATTGACAGTCTCATGGACAGTGGCAATGAAAGGAAAGAGGAGCTAGCAGTTTTCCTGTTACGTGAAGGGACACAATATGTGAAGCACAGAAGTAAGGCCTGGTTCTCATTCCGAAAGGAAGTAAACGTCACAGGAAGCACGATTTTCGCAGCTGTAGGAGCGGATGGACTAAAGACACAACGGGAACACTTTCTGCAGAAATTGAGAGGAAAGGAAGTTCCAGAATTCACTCAGGAAGTACAGGATGCCATAAGACATGGCGAGAAGCATGAGCCAGATGCCCTTGCCACATTCTGCACAAGATTTATTCCTAGTTTTCTGCCTGATTGTGCAATTTACGAAGCTGGTTGTTTCCAAGTTAAGGCCGGAAGTGTTCCAATGTTGGAATAGTTACAAATATACAAACCGGAAAAGTGGAGGCAGTACTCGAAGTTAAGAGCCCTTATACGGGGAGGCTCCACACTGGAATACAAGCCAGATATTACCTTCAGGTACAGGCAGAAATGATGGCATTGGACGTGGAGAACTGCTATTTTGGTTCCTACAAGAGTGATGAAACAATAATTTTCAGAGTCTCGAAAGACCTTGACACTTGGAGCATGGCAGTAGCTTGCATTAAGGAAGTCTATGGTAATGCAAAAGACAAGGTACCAACGAAACTGTCTGAAACTTCCAAACTACTGAGTTTGAAAATCAAGAATGCAGTGTCCCATAATTGCAAGTTACTTGCTCGGGTTTCATCTGTCAGTGCATTTGAGTCTAAGGAAGTGGAAAGCAGCTAGGACACTTTCACAACCCATGTATTGGCAGACTCCCAGGTCAGTATTCCCCCAGGGATACACAAACAATGGGACATGAAGCTGGCACTTTCAACAATGGAAACAGTTTCTGCCAACAACAAGAAGATTTACCAACTGCTGAGAAGAAAAGCCACAGAAGTTGTCACCTTGGTTGCCTCAGACACTGACAGGATCAGGAGCAGGAGTCAAGTAATAGGAGCTCCTATTTGCTACTTCCTGAAAGGATACAGCCTTTCAATGACAGTCATGCAGTCAATATTGGAAGATACCCGAGAAAACTTCATAAAATTGGAATGCATGTTCCCTGTGTCTCCTTTGATGGTCAGTTTATGAAACTTGTGAGGGAAGACCTATTTGGAAAGCCTCAAACATTGCTTCTGGTACAGAAGCAACACTGTCATAAGGTCCCCAAAATGCAGAAGACAGCCATCATTGCTGAGTTCTGGGATGAAGAGATCATCAAAAAGAACAGGAACACTCCACCAAAAACATGTATGGCATATCTTAAAAAAGGCGACAGAGTGAAGCCAATTCAAGAACAAAATGTTTCGCCCGAGGCCTGTCAGGAAGATGCAATATGCCTTGAAGAAGTTCATCTGCATACAGCTGAAGAACATCTGGAAGCTGAACATTCTGGTACTGAAGTAGATGATCATGATCAAGACCAGCAGCAATACAACAGAGAGGAGTCGAATGCAGAGAAGAACATCCAAATCACTCACCAACATTATGTTGATCTTCTCGTCGATCTTTGAAATGGGTTTGATAGCCGGAAAGACAAAACTGTTGATGAAATCAAGGTAGTTCTGATGCAATGTGACAAACTTTCAAAATTGAAGATTCCCGAATTGAAGGTTGTTGCACGATTCTTTAAGTACCAAATGGACATGGACATTGTGCTGTGTCGACTAAAGAAACTTTTGAGTCTGGAAGGAACCATAGTTGCTCAGAATGGCAAGAAGACAATACCATCACTGACTGTCCTATCTGCTCAAGTATTGCAAAGTAATATCTATCCAAAAGCGGCACTGAATGCTTCTTATGCTCAGTGGACTTTCGAGAGAGTCAAGGAAGAATGGCAAAAGAATTCCAAAATTCAGCATGGCATGGTCATACAAGAAGTTGATGCTACAAGACGTATTGACTGGTTTTACATTCCGGAATATTCACAAACAAGGCAGCAACTGGAGGTAAAGAAGATTGATACCCACCATCTACTCACAAGACACAGATCTGCTATTTGCAAGGGAAATCTGGGGAAATCATCGAGGTCGCATTTCATTGAAGTTGCAAATAGTCGCAAGACAGCATTGAAGCCTGGCATGATGGAGCAACAACTGAATATGCAGTCGTCAGACTATGCAAGGATAACATTCTCACAGGGTGTACAGATGGAACTTGAAGAAAGGGGATACCAGGACTCCGCAAAGTTATGCAAATATGTAAGTGTACAGATTATTTTGTTTTAAGGGAATGTGAACTTATCATGTAGTGTTCTCTCATTTTCATACTTGGATCTGCCTCAAAGTTTTTATCTTGGAAAAAAATACATATATTTAAATTTTCATGCTACTATAATGATATTGTGAGATGATGTAGCATGATTTGAGATCTGAGGGTTATTTTATTATTTTTGTACTGATATTTTTTATGATTTTATATAAGTAATATGTGACCCTTAGTCCATGAAGATAAGCCAAATGACATATCATTCACTACATGTACAATATTCTTCCAGGTGAGAGAGTGGTTTGAATCCTGTGACGAGCCTGGGATATCCGCTGTAGAGAGGTGTCGTATGAAACTTCAGTAAGTTACTGAGTAATTTTCTATGTACAATTGAATCTTGTAGTCACTTTATATGGTACTTAAAAAGGATGTATAAAAGATGCATTAAGCATGGATGGAGAATTTAAAAGGCATTATGGCACATCTCTTAACATATAATGTTGTGTGAGAAATCTGTTTGGATTTATAATTTACAGTTCTAATATTATCTAATGATAGTTTTCAATAACAGTTTTCAGATATTAATTAATATTGTTTACTTCAGGTACCGAGACTACTTGTTGTCATTGGTCGATTTCTCCTCGTTCCCCCTCCAGGATCACACATTATGGGATATTCGACTTCCTTATTGGAGTCAACAGTGGCCACTATAGATACAGACTTCATGATGTATGCCATCACTCGTAGAAGAACCTATAACAATAGGGCGCTTGGGAGCCAGCCATGTGAAAGCCTGTATTCATGTCTGGCAACCATGCCCGGAGCCAAGAATGGAGTTCCGAGCTGTGTTGACTTGGAGGTGAACATGGCAAAGATATGTGGAGAGTGTATTGTAAGACACGACCCAACTAGGTAACAAACCATATATTGAATAAAATCAACTAAAATATCTGTTCTACATTTCAGAAAGTGCACTTTTCTGAATAAATAATGCCTAAAAATGGAAATTTGTGAATTTAGTTCCTAAGTGTAAAATGTTTCAAATAATAATTTATTTAAAATCAATGAGCTAAAAGCTCATGTTTAATAGCTGAGCATATAATCAGATTTAGAGTATAAGTGTAATATTTTGTTCATAACTATTTTCCTTCATCATATTCAGAGGCTTCTCAGCACGACTGTCTAGTGCTCCAGTTTACCCCCAGCAGCTGTTGGGGAGAGATGTCGGTCCCCTTCCACCACCCCAAGATCCACCTGCATTCATCCATCAGATAAGAATTCAGGTAATGTAATCAAGTACACTGTTATCATCATAAAACCTTCATAACATCATTGATATCAACACATTACGTTGTAACTGTAATGTAATGATGCAGTGTTTGGCACATTTCGGTTTGAAGCCGAGAGATTCTACAAATTTTTCACCTCAGGATTTCTTCTTACAATAATACTAGCCACAATGATAGAATAGAAATGCTCTTGAAAGCAGTGTTAAACATTATATCACATCACATGTTTAATGTACATGTATGGTTGTTTTATGTAGTGTGAATCTCAACACTGTCTTGATTTCATTTTTACTTTGTCATTTTTATTGTAGAACCACTTGTTCGATTCATGGGAAAGGAGGAGACTGACAAGAAAGGAACCGAAAGGATTAACCACACCACATGAGCCAGGAAGAGGGGCTGTGGGTGTGCGACATTACCATAAAGTGAATGAATGCAAACTCAATCCACTGATTAGGGCAGGGATTTCCGTTTCAAGTCCAAATCAGGAGACCTCTTAAGACCTCCACGAACAAAGACGGAGACATATTTGTACCTCAATTTAAGCTTTATTTTTGTACAAACAGGAATGTGCTGAGTTATTCAAAACATGATCAATATTTCTATTTCATTACAATGTCCAGTAACATTATCATGGTAAATGGAATCAAAATATGCATTCATACATTATTCATAGTAACAGATTAGAATGATATGTTAATAACCTTTGAGCATGAAGTTGATATGTAACAACTGGCTTATTACTTTTCATCGACATTTGAGTTAAAATATTGTTCACAAAAGTAATATAGCTTTGTGGTCAGAATGAATGTATGTATATATATATGTATACTGTGTTGGGTAAAACTCATCTTGTACAATTGTTAATAAACAAATATATTGACTTTCACATCTTGTATATTTCTCTTTCTCTTACAGTGTGCAAAGTGTTCACTTGCATTATTATGGGTTAATTTCTAAAGAGGTAATGGGATTGCATTGCATAGTTTGAGGTACATGGAAATCAAGAAACTTATAAACAATTTTCCTGATATGCAAACAAAATAGATCTATTTCTACTGCACAAACAGTAAAAATAATCATCTTCTTAGAAACATGCATCTTAAATCTACAATCTACAACCTACTTCAAAATTATTTGACTATCTGAGACAAATGAAATAAATGGAAAAACAGTTTCAGTTAAAAAATAACAGACATGGTTTTGGCACATTCATCAACAATATTTGAGATCTTTGTAGTTATGAGGTGGAAGGTATTAGGAATAAATAGGAAATGTTAAAGCATCAACAAGTGGAAAAATACAGAAGCTGCCAATAAAAAAGTCATGCCATGGCAAGTTCACATGTTAAATCTCCAAACAAAATAATCCACTACCCTACTAAACAAAGTGCTAATACAACTACAGATATCACATGATAAAAGAAAACATTGTGATTGGCCGTGACAACATCCCAAAAATACTTCCAGGAAAAATATTGTGTACATTGTTTTGGCACATTCTTCCACTATCTTTGAGATTCATGTTGTGAGTTGGCAGGAATTATGTATAAATGTGAAATGTTCATTGCATTAGCCATGGCATCAACAAGTAAATAAATATAGAAGCTGCCTGTTTGGCAGGTTCACATGTTAAATCTCCAAACAAAATAGTTCACTAAACTACTGAACAAAGTGCCAATTGCTACTAAAAAGATCACAGGATAAACAAGTAAAATATTATGTAGCACTGGGGCAAACTCCCCAAAATACTTTGTCATCAATAATCTAGATCCTCCATCTAAAAATACTGTTTGATGAGGTGGAAGATATTATGAATACAATGTATAATGAAAATTGTGTTTCAACATGAGATCTTAATGTGGATGAAATTATGAAAACATAGAGAATGCTAAGAATCACAGTTGAGATTGATACAGTTGCAGCTGGTTTTTACTTATAGGTCCTCCCATTGTTTGTTCATTTTGGGTACATTGCACTTGACATTAGAGATGTGCCTCTTCAAGTTGTACTTGTCTTTGAAGGAATGCCCACAGTTGTCACAAATAAATGGTCGTGACCTACAATGTACTTTTGTGACATCTCTCTTCACACAGGAGTACCATCTGCTCTGGTACTGACACTGGTCACATCGGTACATCTCAGGGTTCACCTGATGTACAGAACCATGTACCTTTAACTGAAATTTGGTTGCAAACTGTTTGTCACACAGTTCACAAATAAATTCTTTATCATGTGTTTTCATGTGTCTCCTCAAAGCCTGCTTGGAATTGAAGAATTTATCACATTCTGTACATTTGTGCACTTCCTCAGAATGAGATTTCACGTGCTCTCGCATGCCTCTGTAGCTGTTCAACACTTTGAAACAGGTTTTGCAGCGACAAAGACCCTTCTGCTTATGTAACTTGGCTCTATGTTCCTTCAATAACTCTGTATTGAAGAAGGACATGTTACACAATTCACAGCTGATATTAAAATCAAGTTCATGTTTCCTTCTCTGATGAGATCGCAATGTCGCCCGATTTTTAAACTTCTTTTTACACGGCATACATTCAAACGTTGGAATTTCTGGAAGGTTCAGAATCACAGAAATATCTGAAAGAAAAAAATTCCTTTAATGACTTCATAACAGTAAGATGAAACTTAAAGATCTTCGTCTGACAACTTGACGATACATATGGTGTGAAGGGGTGTTATACAAACATACAAACTAGCAAAATTATGTCTGATGAACTCACACACACACACACCGCTTTCACCATGTCAATTGACATGAACATTACTGAATACTTGTGCAATATAAGTACAAGATGTAATCCATTGGGACATTTAGACACTCAAATGACTTTAAATGAAAATGCTTACCACAGTTTTCCAGATTTGGAAGTTGTGAAGCTGGCGTCTCGGGGACAAACATACTTGATGCAGAGGCATCTCTCTGAAAATAAAACGGTTGAATATTATTATAATGAAATATAAGTCATTGAAATTTAAAAAAAGAAGAAGATAAACCAATTGAAAGCATTGAATTTTAACCAATTATGTACAGTAAAATGACCAAAGTTTTTGTAATCCTGTAGACTAAATAGATCATATTGCATTAAAAAAGGATACATTACTAAAAATTCTTTTTACCTGAGAAGTACATGGGGTTTCAGGCATAAGTGCTTCCTGAGAATTGGAAGGCGTTTCAGGGACCCGGACAACTGGACCGTCAAATAAGATGGGCGAGAGGATTGACACGTCTTCCTCAGAAATCTGTGAATACAAGTTTGAGAAATAAAAAAATGCAATTTGGGAAGTCAAAGTGAAAATGATCACCTACATACGCAATTCACTGATAATGAAGACGTTTTAGCAACTTTTTCAATCACAAAAATATCTTTACGTTGAAATCGTGAGGCCATGAGTCTTTTTTTACAAAACTGAAGAGAAACATCAGCACGACATGTCAACAAAAAAACGCCTTCGGTCGAACGAGGGACCACATTGTGCGGAATTGCAAGCCTAACACGGAGAAGTATGAACATAGATTTGAAGCTTACTACAATAGGGGGTTTATGCGCTACATCCCGATATAAGTTTTTCAAGATTACACTCATAGTGACGAAAAACAGGTTACCAAAGGCTTTTCTTCTTCCCGCGCCGCCATGTTTCTTGACTGAAAGCGAGGCTGCGAGGCGAAGAATGCCGATGACTGACGATTTGCATGCCGTTTCGGGATGCTATGACTGCCGTTTCGAAGGCTCGGCGACCGTTCTCGGCCGCTCTTGTAGCAGATACACGAGTTTGGGAGCCGACAGGATCCTGATCTTCAGTACCGCAGGAGGGAGGCAGCGAGGGAGGGAGGCGGCAGCCATGGAGGGAGCCGGCAGACAGGGAGGAAGCCGGCAGACAGGGAGGGAGCCGGCAGACAAGGGAGCAGAAAGCAGGAACTAACCATCCAATATTCTGCCAAATGTCAGTCTGTCGTCTTCGCCTTCCACTGGCAGCCTCTTTGTAAACAATCCTACCTCTCATAGTTGTCTTTGTGCACCACCACGACTCGTGCTGCTTCTAGAGTGCCAAAGATGGTTCACAATGCCCGTATGGTGGGCAGAATATTTCTAAGTGCGCATTGCCTTCTTAACTTCACATTACACGTCATCTATACAGGAAATCCGAGAAAGGGCATTGTCGTTTTTTTCTTTTGGCAGTATCGAACATTCTAACGGTTTTTGCATAAATAAAATGGGCGACAATGCAAGAACACGATATATGTTGACTTTGAAAATTGTCGCCATTTGGCTGAATAAAAAAATATATTATTCAAAGCAAGAATATTCGACATAGTGACAATGCGACAAATGGCCAAAATGTAGCATTGTCGCATTGTCACACGTGTTGCTTGATTTTGTAGGGGCGATATTGCGACAAGGTTGCTTCAGGAATCCACACCTATATGTTTTGATAAAACTAAATACCTAAATGAAATAACTAGATCTGTGTTCACACCCACTCATTAACGCTCACGCTCCACAAAGACCTTCACCCCGACAGGGTTATGGGATTTGTTTCGTTAAAACATATGAATTATTAATTGAAGGGATGCAATCACCTGTATGCCTGTTTCTACGGTTAGCAATTGTATTAAAAGCCAACCATGTTTATCAAACCATACAAAATACTGTAAATGTATGATATATCTTAACATACGAGACATAGTCATATTTCACTTAAGATATATTCACATTTTGCAGACCCCACATATTTCTCGGGAATCCAGACTCACATTCCCGCATATACATAGCGTGTCTGAGGTTGTGGAAGCGAAAACCCGAGGTAGTATTCAACACCAATCTGAGAAGGTCTGGATATGGTCGTGAAGAGCGTTCTCCAGGGTGGAGTCCAAAAGACAACGAACACTTCACAGTAGACGTCAAGATTGGCATCGATATATTTCAGGTGTGTATTTTCAGGGTATTTGATTGATTATATAACACTGAAACGTGAGTGAGTGAGTGAGTTAAGATTTAAAGTCACATCGGCAATATTTCAGCCATATCGTGACTAGTTCGAAATTCATAATGGGTTATCACAATGAGGTAAAACAAGCTAGCATATATATGTAAAAGTAGAAAATTATATTTGGACAATACAATATAAAAATGGGCTATTGATCGCCAACAACTGAAGGTAAATCACCGTACTAGGACCCATGGGGACTTACATTACTTTTGCTACCTGCATGGACCCTACCTGGATTTACACAATCTCCTCAGCCATTGGCGTTTATGCTGAGAATTAGCTGTACATTAAAAAGACTACGATTAAAACCTGGTAGACGTAAATTTACTTGAAATGTTTGGGGACTTACGTACCCTCTCAGGTGAAACGTGACTGAGTGAGTGTCTGGGTGAGTGGGTGAGTGAGTGAATGAATGAAATATAGTGTGGCGGTAACAGATATTTGTTCAAGCACCATGATCATCAAAACACCCGGTGTCGCGATATCTGCCTACTCAGCTATGCTGCTTACTCCTGAAATGTCTGGTTTTCATTCTGTTCACAGACATACCTCGACGGCTCCTTCCTGATGTCCAACAAAATGCGAGCCCCTTTCGCCAGGGTGGGATTTGTAGGAGTGGACAAACTCAGAGCTTGGCATAAGCTTCAGGTCGGATTTGACAAGTGCTGATCATCCATACAACGTGTGTCACGTTTGTTGTGTATAACGTTGTGTGTCACGTTCTGACTGTCGGTACTAATCGTGCGTCCTGTAACCGCACGTGATATCGTTGTCAACCAACGTGAAATGTTACGTCTGTAATGCTTTGACTTTCGAACGTTGATTAAAAAGTAGCTTCCCTTCATGAGACTATGACATTTAATGTAAACAAAAGAAATGTTCACATTGATATATGAACTCATGAAGCACATAGTTATATGACTAACACTCCCGACATCAACAGACCTGACACGTTGCTCTACCCGTGGTGAACCTAGCAAGTAACAAACTGGTATAGATTGGTGTGTAGAGAGGCAGACCTGACACGTTGCTCTTCCCGGGGTGAACCTAGCAAGTAACAAACTGGTATAGATTGGTGTGTAGAGAGGCAGACCTGACACGCTGCTCTACCCGGGGTGAACCTAGCAAGTAACAAACTGGTATAGATTGGTGTGTAGAGAGGCAGACCTGACACGTTGCTCTACCCGGGGTGAACCTAGCAACTAATGTTGGACATACACTAGTTATATTACTAACACTCCTGACATCAAACTGGCACAGACTGGTGTGTAGAGAGACCAGAGGTGCCCATGAAAGATATTGCTGCAAGCTGAATGAGCTGCCCATGGGTCTGTCATACAGGTCCTGCCATGTTTAAATCCTCCAAACCACATATTTCTCCAAGCGAGGCATGACATATTGCCATGTTTGAGCTAAGATACAGATGATCTGCTTGGAACATGACCAATGTAAACCGGCTCAGATGCAGTGATCAAATCTGTTAAGAACGGCATGTTGTATACTGGTGTTGTTTCCAATTAAACTGACTGTGTCAAGCTCATTCACGATATGAACAATCAGGATCCTCCAGTGGATATGATCACAGCAAAAATAACTTAGTTTCCGTTCTTGCGGAAACCTAATGGATACTGGGTAATGTTGGTTTCCGCTAGGTTTCAGTATCCGGAAACAGACAATGAGAGTTTCCGCTCAGTTTAGAAAACTGAAACTAACAAGTGTAGGTTTCCGTCATGTTTCTACAACTGAAACTGTCATTGGGAGTTTCCATTTAGGTTCAGTTCGCTGAAACATTCATAGCAAAAATAACTTAGTTTCCGTTCTTGCGGAAACCTAGTGGATCTTAGGTAATGTAGGTTTCCCGAAATTGACAGAGTTTCCCCTTAGTTTAGATGGTTTATTCTCACTTACCCACCACCCTAGAGTTATTACAATGGATTAGGAAGGATTAGTGTTCAGGGGCAAGTGATCATACTGCTCACTGTGAAATTTCCTCCTGGTGGGTGGCATTAATTAGCCCTCTCCATATGGACGGTGTTCATGAACTGTGGTCTTGGATTTGCTGTTTTTAGAATTTAGTGGACACTTTTTACCATTAGTATATAATGACGTGTATGGTCGATGATTACGTCTGTCACGATGGCTAACTAACAAGTGAAGGTCAAGTTCATTTCCCGTGGAAGAGGTGACCAGTATCTAATTTTACGAATTAAAGTTCACAATCAAGAGAAGAGGAGGTGAATCTATCCATTTTAACTGCTCCCAGAAAACCTGCCACGGCACTGTTAACGCTAAAGATACCAAAACCACCTCGCAAAAAGATGAAGTGCTGAACGTCCATTTAAATCGTAGATTGTGTAATCTTGTGGCATGAGTATTGTGACGCAGTTTTCCATTAACTGGCTATTGAAATGTGTACTTATGTGCATGTTTTTGTTGTATATTTTATATGTTCTGATAAATGAAATGAGAAACCTGATGATAAGAGTGTTTATGGGTATGTGATACTATGTGACATGTTGAATACGATCGGGGGATCTTATTTCATAGGGATCACAACTTCACAGAAATCTATTGTCGAGATGATTATTCAGCTTCAGTGATTTGCCCACCAAGATTATATATCAGGATTCAAATAAAGAATATTGTCACATAAAAATGAATTAATTTTCGGAAACCGGGAAGTCTCCTTTACGTTTTGTAAAGGGAAATTTATGGTAAGATTACGGAAAACTGAAGCCGGTGAGGTCCATTGGGTTTTAGTACTAGTTACCCATTCGGTTTCCGTTTGTTATATTTCTTAACGTGATACATACACTAACTGGCAGTGCTTATGCACATTACACATACCTGTACAAAGAAGGACAACATGTTCGTGAATTATTGTTCAAGAAGAGAATTATATTTTCCAAAGCAACAAAATACAAACAGGAACACATTATACAGTAGACATATAGCATACACCAACAAACACTAGTACTCTACAACCGCTGATATATACTCAGTAACACAATAAGATCAGAATATAAACCCAACTTCTGCACAAGAGCTGAAGCTATACTGATATATTACAATCATCGACCGTATTACAAATTCTACAATCAAAATATGTACACGAATTTAATAGTTTCCATGACATGACAGTAGGTACAGTACACAATGCAACTATACAAAGGAACGAACATGCACTTGACAGGCAACTAAAAACTACTGCTTTGGTGCATTTCAAACGCCCATGCCCCTCTACACAAAATTCTCTGTACAGGTAAGAAAGGGGCGTTTTGCTGCTTGGCCGACCACACAGAGATAGGAGGCAAATAGCCGAGGGTTTCATGGCTAGTATTGAACCAGACTACTTCAGCAAAAATGTGGGGCATACAGTCCCCCGTTTCTAATTCAGTGGAGTGGACAAATAATCTTCTTACTTTTGCAGGCCGCACCCCTTGTGGCTTTACTGAGGCCTTGATTGTTGTAACCTTATCAAACAACTTCTGAGCAATGATGGTATGGCGCACTTTGAAATCCTCGATTCACGCTCCATTGTACCTCAAAGGTTGTGAAATATAAACACCAAAGGCTTGAGCTGTTGGAACATTGCTCGACATGAAAGAGAAGTTGACTATTTGAAAATGTAAATCATCCATTTTG